ACTCTTGACAAGGAACAGCCTCTTGCTGATGCAATTGCTATACTTTCTCATATTGCATCATAATGGAAATTAACCTCATGGATTGTGTGATAGCGTGTTGATGTGGCTTTGCTGCTTCCCAGCCCTTGAGTCATGGGTTGTATTTTGACCTGGGTACCTTGAGTGTGGAGTTTGCCTGTTCTCCGTGTGCCCCATGTCTTTGTGATTTGTCACTGGATCGCTACTTTCCTCCTACAGTCCAAAGACTTTGTTGTCTAGATGAGTTGGCGTCTCTGATTTGATCTGCACGTGTGCACGTTGTACGACGCAAAGTACTGCATTTCCGTCTAGGGTGTATCCTGCCTTGTACCCATTGTCTGCTGGGTTAGGCTCCAGATAGTCATTGAATTGGACTAATTTGAAATTGAAAATTAATAAGTTTGTTTCCAATGCGGAAAACCACACCATTGGGTCATTTGACTGGATACGTACTGCAATGGTTAGGCTTCCCATCAGGATGTACCCTGCCTAGCGGCCATTGCCTGCCAGCTCCCTCGCAACACTGTATTGAATAAAACAGCTAGAAAGATGGATGGACTGCATATGCAACCATTGATTGACAAGCCACCATTTGAACCATCCTAACAAGATTACATTTATAGTATTTGGAAATATGGCCACAACTACCATAAGATTTATCTAGTAATCTGAGAAGATGTGTTTTAAAAAGCATTGCCACCCTGCTTAGTTTTCATGTACAGTGATTCACTGTCACTGTTTTAAATTATCTACACATCTGGCATAAATTCAAATTAAACCACATTGTTTAAAAACTGCTTAAATCATTTGCTTTAAATGACATGCTGAGAGCAATGTGTTATTGTTCTGTGGTTCCACATGTTGCTTTGTGGATACAGCGGTTATGGCTGGAGTTCTGGTTCCTTATTTTGTGAATGCTGATGAAAACCCCAAACAGTTTTTCCATAGATAGAAAATGTTTCTCCTGTGGTGCTACTTCAGTTTAGAACTGCATTATATGCAGTTTATGCAATGCTGGGTTTATATATCAAGACTACAGGTAAGAAGTTGCCGTTTCCTAGTATGAAGCCTTGTTAGTAAAAACAAATCCCCCAAACAGGAAATTCCCTGAATGCAAGAGCTGTAGCAAATGTCACCATATTTTAGACAAAGTGAGTCTGGTGTGCTGTTACAAGACAGAAGGGAGGCCTTACTTAGTCTCTTGTTTCATTGTTAAACACAGTGGGTAGTTTTAAAGTACTGCTCCTGGGCTTTAAGACTCTAAAATGCAAAAAGTCTTTTGTAACTCACTGACCTTCTTCTTTTCCAAACTTCACCCTGGTCTTTAAGATTGGGTCAATTTAATCTGGTTCAGGTCCCCAGATCCAAACTATGTACCATGAGCGAGCATGGTTCTCTGTCTTCGGTCCTCGTTTGTGGAACAGACAGATCTTGAAACCCTTCTCTGCCAGCAAGCCTATCAACTTCCAGTGCTTTAAACTAATTTCCTGTCCCTTTCCTTTCTATTAAGTTCCTTGACCTATTTTAGCCTTTTCTGTATAGTGAATCACAATGTGTTTTACGTAAATGAAATTATTATTATTATCATCATCACCCTGCATTTAATAGTT